AAAAAAAAAAAAAAGGCAATTACAGATATCTTATTTCTTCCATACCTGGTGGGATTTAATTTTTTGGTGCTTATAGAACTTTTTATAGAAATTTCTGGATTTTATACATTAATCACAAATCCCTCAAGATAATTCACATTTAAACCTTTTTGGTGTAAACAATGATTTTCTAAAGTTAAAAAAAAAGTGTAGTCAGACTCATCTTTGATTATGTCCTTATTTTTTTTTCTCATTTTTAAAATTTGTTCCTTTTAAATATACATGACAGTAGAGTGTATTTTGACATATCACACATGGAGCATAAGTTCCCATTCTTGTGGTTATACATGATGTGAACTTACACTGGTTGTGTATTCATATATGAATATCGGAAAGTTATGTCCATTTCATTCTGCTGTCTTTTCTATTTCCATCCCCACTCCTGTCACTTCATCTCCCTTCGTCTAACCCAGTGAACTTCTATTCTTCCCTTCCTTGCCTCATTTTGTGTTAGCACCTGCATATGATTATGCCCTTATTTCTTATTCATATGTTTGTGTCTAAGAACTGAATGAGTTTTTAGCTTTACAAATTGTATTAAATTTGTGTTTATCTATAAATACTTATTTAACTCCTAATGAACACAGATTCCAATCATGCTTCCAAGTTCCCTTCAACTGCTTTCTGTTAGACTTCATCTTTCATTATTTCTGTTAGTAACTGGGGCCCTGGTGTTCTGTTCCTCCTCCCTCTGAACCCCAATCTAAAATTTGTGCTGTCAAGATAATTGTTTGTGGGGCTGGGGATGTAGCTCAGCGGTAGAGTGCTTGTCTCGCATGCACGGGACCCTGGGTTCGATCCTTAGCACCACGTAAAATATAATTGAGTGAAATAAAGGTATTGTGTGCAACTATAAAATAAATATTTAAAAAAAAAAAAAAAGATAATTGTTTGTATTCACTTGCTTCAGGGACTGGTAATATTGACTTTATAGTGGCAGAGCTTCTGAAGGCTTGCCAGGCTTCTAACTTGCTTGGAGCACAGCAGTTCTAAGAAACTTTGCAGTAATGGGAATGTTCTGTTTATGTGCAATCCATACGGTAGCCACTGGCCACATGTGGCTACTGATTACTTGAGATGTGCCTAGTATAACTAAATTTATAGAGTGATTTAATGAATTTGTTTTTACATTTTATTATAATAAAATTCAAATATACAAAATAGTTAGAATGTTGTAAACACTGACGTGTCATTCTAGATTATAATAAATCTTATAGATTTTATAATCTGGTGTTTTATAAATTTTATAATTGTGGTATCAAGTGGCTGGGTCTGTGTGTGTGTTTGTGTGTGGGATATGTGTTTAATTTTGATGAAGTAGTAAGTAAACACATCTTTAGTGGCTACACTTTTGGCAGTGGCGCACCAGCTGATTTCATTGCTCAAAATTGCATGGCTTGAATGAATTGGACATAACTTTCCTATGTTCATGTATGAATACACAACCAGTATAACTCTACATCATGTACAATCACAAAAATGGGAAGTGATACTCCATGTCTAATATGTCAAAATATATTCTACAAATAAAGTAAAATGCATGGCTCTTCAGGTTTGTTGTGGAAAGCCAGTTTATCTGTATTGTGCAAGATAAGACTCATCATCTTCAGTTTTACTGTATGGAAATAAATATTCCTGTTCAAATTGTAGGCCTTGATGAATGTACAGTGTAGAACATGGTATAATTCTCTTTCACTTACGTGTCCACACAAGGAGAAAGGAACAAATGCTCTGAACTTCTAGGGTACTCACAGTTATTGGTTATTTCTCAAAATGGCAGTCTGAGGCTTTTGTTGAATAAGCCAGTCCACTCAAGATTGAGCATGGTTAGGGAGAAATACTCCTTAGATTAAAAAGTTAACATATGAACTCTGAACCATTCTCTAACTTCTCTCTAGTATTTATTTACTTATTTTGCTCTATCCCCACTCTATGAAGATTTCTCATACTCAGATCAAGATCAGAGAATAGGTGACTAGGATTAATAGCTTGTATTTTTATCTATGGTTTTCTTATACCTTGTGTGTTTGAATTGGCTTTTACTTGATTGTAAGCTGCTGATAGACAATGCTCATTTAAAAGTTAAATTTTGTATATCACTAGTTTTATTTGAAATTAGATTTACATTCTGCACTTAGGTCAGCCAACACATGTTCCCCCTTACCTCCTCCCTTAATAGAGATACTTCTCAAAATTATCAAACTTTTTCCCAATTGATGGTTTGGCATTCAAGGCCTCAGAGTAGCCAGCACCTGGTAGTCTTACTGCCTTCAGATTATTTGCTTTTGTAATTTACTCTTAAGGCAGGTGATATTCATTTTTGTTGCTGTGGAAACCTTTTTCATTACCACAAATCTTTGCATATGTACATTCTCAATACCACAGAATCTCAAATTTGAACATAAGAAGGATGTGTCTTTTGGATGTGGTGTAACTGTGATTCTAATTTCTCATGTATAGTCTTGAGTAGAGCTCTTTAACTTTGCTCAACCAAAGCAGCATATACAAAACAAGAGAATATGGGAATATTTATGATCTGCCATGCTTTATTATGCTCGTATTTATTTATTGCCTTTCCATGTTCTATGCCTCTGCTTCTAACAGAGTGCAAGACAG